ATATAAGTAGAAATTAATAGATAAAGTGCATACTATAGTAACAGATAATGGAGCTAATATAGTAAAGGGCATTAGTTTGTTAAAAGAAAATTGCTTATCTAATATTATTTGGCAATCATATATCACTCAAACTCTTCAACTTTCAGTAAAAGAAGGGTTTAAACAAATTAAGCTAATTCATAAACAGCTCAAAAGTATTCAATCTTTAAACTTCTGAAGCAGGTGCAATGATTAAAAAATATACAAAAGCAAATAGATTCATTTGATGTAGACCAAAGTGATGCTGAAGATAAAATTATAAATCTACTTGAAGTTTTAACTAACTATAAAACCCATTAGAATTCAACTTACTTGGCATGGAAATAAATTTTATTATTATATCTAGTAATACTTAGACTTGCAACATTATAAAAAAATAAGTCAGATACTATATCAAAATAGGAAGGCAAAAATCTTCATAAATTGTATTTGACTACAGAAGAAAAGAGTATATTTTAATATTAGATATAATTTTTAAAATACTAATAATATGTATATACTTGCTAGCAAAATTAAAAATCTCAAAATCTACTCAAATTCTAAATATAATTAAATTAGTACAAATTCCAAATTTCAAAGCCCAAATCCTATCCAAAATATAATAAAATTCATCCTAAATTCTAATCCCAAATCCTGAATCCCAAATCCTATCTCAAATATAATAAAATTCATCCCAAATCTCAATTCCAAATTCCAAATCCCAAATTCTATTACAAATATAATAAAATTTGTCCTAAATCCTAATTCCAAATTCTGAATTCCAAATATAATAAAATTCATCTCAAATTCTAATCCTAAATCTATTCTAAATATAATAAAATTCATCTCAAATTCTAATCCCAAATCCTGAATTCCAAATTCTAATAGTTTTACTAGCAAGTATAAATATGTAACAAAAAAATTATTATAGATTAGAGTTACTCTTATTATAGTAAAATGATTAGGCTATAAAATTTTCTTCATTATATCAAAAGTCTATTAGTAAATTTATTATATCAAGAATAGATAGTTCACTATAACAAGAGTGACTATATTATACTAGTTCAATACTACTAGTAATCTGCATTATATAGAATATATTATTCTACTAATTATTATTATTTTTTAAGGTTTGTAGAACAAATAGTTAATCTCTTAAAACTATTTGAAGAAATTACAAAGCATGTTTGTAGATCAAAGTATCCTATCTTAAATCTCATATATTCTTATATATATATTCTAAAAAATAAATTTGCACCAATAAGTGAAAAAGGAAAATTATTAGAATCTTGAATTGATCTTATTTATGGTTCTGAAGATCTAGATACTAATGATAATTCAAGTCTTAGCAGTGATTATGAAGCTAATATACTATCAGCAAGAAATTAGAAATAATAGCAATATGTATACCAAAGTGTATATCACTAGAAAAATCAAGTTGATCATAAAAAAATAAAAAAAAGAAAAGAAAAAAAGCTATTCCTGAGTTAAGTATTCTAATACTATAGAATATTTGTCACTTATAAACTGTTCTGAATTTTTAAAAAAAATACGAGCTATGATTTTTCTATTTTTTGATGAATTATGGAACTTATCTAATGAAATGAGTTTGAAGGCTTCCTTTTTAGGTATTTATTACTTTTAGACAATTATTTTATATACTTTTATAGATACAATTAATTTACAGACAGTCTATAAATTAATTGTATCTATAAAAGTCTGTAAATCGATTGTCTATAAAATGCGATATCTATAAATAATTTTTTGTAAATTAATATGTACCCTTCACTTTTAGATCTATGAGCATTAAAGTTACTTCTATTTGATACTATTCAAGAATAAAAAGAAACTGAAGACCAAATATACGCAGAATTATTATTACTAGAAACTCAACTAACTATTTCAAATAATAACAAAGAGGTAGAAAGAAATTCAGTAACTACCAATAAAGATCCTTTAAGTACTGAACTATAGAAATTATGTTCAATACCTGATCAAGCTATTACTGAAGGAATTAACTCGTTATATAAAACAACCAATTGCTCACAAAAATCAAGATCTGAGAATATAGTAGGAAAATAGACATATAAATTTCCTATTTCTTAGCCAACTTTTCTGCAAGTGCCTCTCCATTCTTGCTATGTCAGTTCCATTAGAACGTTTATTTTCTGATGTGAATGCATATATTTTAACTAGAAGGACTCATCTTAACTCTAATCTAGTTGATAAAATATTAATTTTAAAAAGAAATTCTGAGCATATTTCTATGTTTCTATCTGAAAATGTATAATTTTAAAATCTAGTATAATAAATAATGCTAAAGTGTAAAAAACATATACTTAACTTAATAAATAATAAGTACATTCTAATCTTTTACGAGTTCCAAGTATGACATTATAAGAGTTTTGGTTCAAGCAAATAAGTTGCTGTTTAAATAGAGTACACTCTACATAAAATTCAAAGTTAATAGCTTTCGTTATAAAGAGAGGGACTATAATTTTATATAAAGCCAAATATATATGTAGATATTTTTTAGCCAATCAGACAATGTATTATCATGTTAAATCTAGAGAAAAGTTAAGAATACAATTTATATAATATGTAGATCTATATGTAAATATTGTAAAGGTCTAAATTGATCCTCCAGAATTACTGCACTTTGACATAGTACAATATCCTATTTTTAGTTGTAGATTCTTGTTTAGTTCTTTTATTAGCACAAACATGTATAATTAGAAAACTTACCATAGATTAGTCCATATTTAGTTAGTATGATTTGAAATATTGAATATATCCGATATATCTAATATATTCGATATATTGAATATATTCAATATTTTGAACATTTGTAAAAGTATATAAGCGATAGCTTTTTCCTTTTCAATAAATCATCTCAAGTTTGAGCCAATTCGAAAATTTCTAAATAACTCTCCAAAAAACCATATTCGCTATCCAAAATTACACCTCCCTCCCTATCTGATAAAATAAACTGACCTTGACCCTAATAAACCTGAACCAAATCTTTCATGCCCTCTTTCAGCCTTCCACTGTTAGAGTTATAGTTAGTTTAGAGTAGGTTATAGAGATATTAGTTGTTGAGACTATCGTCCTGATCTACCTTCAGACCCCAGACTCCTATTTTCCTCTCACGATTTGGTGGTGACTGTAAGATATACAACATCTACTTACAATTAAACTAAACCTACTTGCAGACCAACCTTGGGATCAGACTAATCTAATACCTACCTGGAAATATAGATCCAAAACTAGAAAGGTTAGAAAATGAATGTGCTATATTGTCTGCGGTGCTTACTAAAAAACAAGCTCTAGAAGTCTAATATATAATTAACATAGTTTTTGGGGAGAATGATTTTGATGATACACAAATTCCTCTGGCCCTGGAGATTTTACTGAATATAATAAAGAATGTTAGCAATAATGAAAGCTTTGAGGCCTATAATGTAGAAACAAATATTAGTAAAGATAAAAAGAATCCACTATGACAAAAATATTAGGCCTCAAAATCAAATAATACACTCAGCCTAAAGAAAGAAGTATGGGAACTAAATAGACAACTTACGGCCTTGTCTAGTCAACTAGAAGCACAAGAGAAAGAATGGGTCCAGCTTTATCAAAACAAACCCCAAAAACTAATTGTAATATTCTAAAACCTAACTGTGAAAAAAATATAAGCTGACCTAAAAAAGAATGACAAATTAGTATGAAAATAACACCAGAATATCAAAGTGGAGGAGAACAAATAATATACCTCATGCCCTACATTCGAATAGGTCCAACTGGCCAAGAGTATTATTCCGAAAACTCCTCGATTCAGGTACCAAAGCTGGTCTAAGAAAGCTATAATGAGGACAAAAATTATTTACTAGAGATCTAATAGGAAGTTAAAGAGCCTAAGATTAAGAAAAAGGATATACCCTGACTAAAGTCTGTATTCTACTATAGCTCCAGAAGAACCAAACATAAGAGACCTCAATGTCAAGAAAATCCCATGCCATGTATATACACCCAAAGATCATAGACGACCTAAAAATAAAAAAAAAACATTAATAAATTGCCTAAACTTTGAGGCAAAAATGAGACAAAGTTAAGTGAAGACTTACTGAGATACAACACCAACTACTCTGAATTCCCCAAGAAACAAGACCATCGGAATATCAATATCCTAAAGAGAAAAGAAAAGAGGAGAAGAAAGATAACTATATTAGGCATCTGCACTATGCTTGTCTTCTTATGAATAATCAGATAGATTAGTCACAAAGAAAACAATAGGATATCCTACTCACCTAGATCGGATGAATCGTTAGAAAATTCTATATATCAGATTGCTGCAAATAGTCTAGTTGACATAAGAAACACACTAAGTATAAACACCAACAACAAAGAAAGATACTTACCTAAATTCAAAGTAGATAAAGATCCCAACAAGGTTCTGAAACTCTGAATAAGTGGTGACAAAAGATTAAGACCAAAATAAATCCTAAAAAAAAAAAAAAAAAGAGAAAAGGATGAATTAAGAAAAACAATAAATTAAAGAACTTATCTACTATAAAAGGATACCCCTAAATCTGAAAAACAGAATCTAGTCCAGGTTCCAGTATCCTGGCATTTTTATCAATATTGATCTACTTACCTATGAGAGCCTATAATGAAGATTCTCAAGATTCTCAGGCCATGAGGAAGAAAAATTTGAGTGAAGTACTTGTAAGACACAGGATTAGTAAATACCGCGCAAGGATTAAAGAGAAGTTCAAGATAAAGAAATTGTCAAGAAAGGAAGATAATTAAAAACGAATTCGAACGGAAAGAAGTAAGGATATGTCCATATCAAAAACCAGATAAGTCTCTACGAAGCTCTGGTTAGATATCAAAGTGTAGCTGCCAAACATAGATGGAAAGAAGAAAGGAAACATCCACATTACTTACCTGAATAAGTCTCAAAGCAGCCTCAGTGTAATGTCAAAGTGTATCCTGAATAACCTTGACGAGTCTTAAGATATTTATGCGTGGTACGCATAAATTAAGCATAGGAGTTTGTAAAGGTCTAAATTGACCCTCTGGAATTACTGTGCTTCGACGTAGTATGATGTCCTATTTTTAGTTGTAGATTCTTTTTTAGTTCTTTTATTAACACAAACATGTATAATTAGAAAACTTACCGTAGATTAGTCCATATTTAGTTAGTATGATTTGAAATATTGAATATATCCGATATATCGAATATATTCGATATATTGAATATATTCGATATTTTAAACATTTGTAAAAGTATATAAGCGACAACTTTTTCCTCTTCAATAAAGCATCTCGGTTTGAGAAGATCTCAGTTTTGAGTACATCTCAAGTTTGAGACAATTCGAAAATCCCTAAATAACTCCCAAAATACCACATTCGTTAATCCACAATTACCCCCCCCCGATAATATAAACTGACCTTGACCCTAATAAACCCGGACCAAATCCTCCACGCCCTCTTTCAGCCTTCCACTGTTAGGGTTATAGTTAGTTTAGTGGTAGGTTGTAGATATTAGTTGGTGTGATCATCATCCCGACTTAACCTC